AGCCCTGACGTGCACCCGTCTTTCGCGCCTCACATGACCACACGCGTCAAGGCATGCGGTCCTCACATGGGTCTGCACGAAGGTCTTAGATGAAAGGCGCAATCCATGTCCCACCACCTTAGCTCACTCGACCTACCAAACTACATATCAACTCACTCCACAACAAGAACACTCGTCAGGCACTTGACACCATGCTTCTTTCCTGCAGTAGCAATACAATGGACTATGCTATTGCCTTTGTGGTGTGCCGAACGTCATGTACCAACACAGGCGCACCCCACATGGTACGCATGAACTTTGCCTTAACCCGTTGAACAGGTTGTGTGTGGCACGCGCGGACAGCCTGTCTATCTTTCTCAGCCACCGCGTCCAAGCGCCTCACTACGTTTCAGATAAACCCGTACAGAACAGGTGCATAGGAGAGGAGGGAGAAAGACCGACATTGCAGAACGCACTTCCTTGGAGAAGCAGCGAATTCCATATTAAAATAAATCTGATGACAGTGAGTCTATTACGATGCGCCATGTGTCGTGACCTGGAAGACTGGTTGCATGAGAGACTCAAAATGCGGCATTAGTTGGTCCCCGAGAAGGCAGCCATCACAAGCAGGGGTTTAGCAATAAGCTAAAAAATCGATGAAGGTTTCGAGAGGCTGGAATGGCCGTTTCAAACTAGTTTTATGTGGTTTGTCGATCCTTTCCCCGCATCAACTTACGAAAACCAATGAAGCAGTGATGCGCGGGATGTTTTTTTTTCAAATAGCAGTATGGGGGCGAAGAGATTTTGTGGCATGCAGTTTAATGCTGATTTACTTACTTACACCTAGCGGAACTTCGCACAGGCGGATATATATTGTCGATGGGGGTGAAACAACGGGAGATGCTGTCGCTGGAATAATGTTTTTTTGTTTGCCAGACTTTTCGGGTTCACACCCGATTCCATTATCAGAGGCAGATTTGGATATGGCATATGTGTCTATGATGATGTAACCAAGCGTACATCCGAAAAGTGTGCTAAACAAAACTTTTTTCCCAGTGGTCATGTCTTAATTTATCTGGATATTCATTTACACAAGAGTTCAAAACAGTGTCACGAGTTATCCCTTTTGGAAATTCGTTATTAGTCCAGTAAACATGCATGAGGACTCGCCTTATCAGAGTGAATGATAGATTTAGATAGCAATATTACTATGTGCAAAGATGATGGTTTGGTCTTCAGTGGGGTTAAGTCCAAATAAAGTCTACAGGAAGCAGGAAAGTAATGAATATAGAATGGTTTAGAAAACGCCAGCTTCAAATGGTGTGTGTAAGTCTATGGTATAAAAAGAGTGTGAGAGTGAGGAAGGGGGCAGCAAAGTAAACACAGCCACATCGAGAGACTACGTAGACGCTGGCAGGCCTGAGTTCGGTCATAATGGCGTCGGACCTGGACGCGTTTGTCCTCATCGAACTGGACTACATTATCCTTTCGGATGACCGCTGCTTCTACTGTCGCCAGACTGCATTACGTCAATGACAATAAGCTTCTATCCGGTAGCCGCTGTCACTCAAAATGCTTTACATCCATTCACAAGATAACCAGTACCAGATATCCCAGGATAGAACCAAAGACGATACCGATTCGCGCTTTCCCAATCAAACGGAAAATTTCGATTCAATACCTATGTAGTGGCATTTGTTCATCAGTCCACTAAAACCCGTTCCACAAGAACCAGTAAAAATTCCATTTTTTGCCTTTCCAAAGTTAATTAACGACACGGTAACAACTGAAACTTCGGAGAAGAGCATTCTTAGCGGGGAGTCCCTTTCTTTTTCCTAAAAGATTTCTTTTTCCACACAGGTGAAGACCACATGACCTAGCTACAACAAAATCCCTGTTTTATACGTGAATAATCTAAACATGTTTGATTGGCTTGTGGAGACCGGAAACATTTTTTACACATACTTCCAGTCCGTAACATTAGGATGCAAATATACAAGAACCATAATGCTGAGAGGAGATACTGGTGTTAGACTTCAATTCAATCGTACCTGGCTGTATAATTAATGTGCAATTCATCAGAGACTTTCTACTGAATGATCTTTCTTCATAAATTACTAACAGATCGACACATTTGTGACAGTTTGATCGTCGTTTCCGACCATGTCTACCGGATGTCCCACAGTAAGAGGTCGCAGGGACGGTGACTTAAGCATGAATAAGTTTAAAGTGAGCAACAACTGCTGCAATCTATCCCACCTGGGCCCGGTGTCAGTGCGGAATCTAGAGGACTGGGGGCGAGATAGGGCGCAAGTGGCTGGCTTAGCGTGGGCCCGCGCCTAGGCGTGCCGCCATATCACGTGAATCATACACAAAAGGATCGGGATTTCAAAAAACAAGAAAAGGAGGTGGTTCTGGTGAAAACTGATCGAGAGTTCCATCGAGAAGAAGGAGACACGATCGCTGAGACAAGAGCTTCATTAGCCTGACGTTTCGGATTCCTGTTCGAACCCATCATCAGAGCCAAAAGCAGATACGGGTGGTTCATGCACCAGGGGCTGCAGTATTTATAGGATGAAGTCGCCATGCTACCGCATACCTACGAATATTCACTGCTCCCCCCTTCATCCGGGATCATCCCACTTGGTGTGCTAATTGTTTGATGGCCGACATTCGTGTCGTAAATTGCTGCAATTTTATCACGTGCGTTGGATGTTGATGTGATGATTGCTCGACCATCTGATTCACCGACCCTGGAGTTGAGAAAAGTGTTCACTTGTGCGCTCCCCGCGTGGCTAATTACTCCGCCTAGGCGAAGTCTCTTCGCTTCAATTGTTAGTAGCATTAAGGTCAACTTAAGAAGGAGCCATTACAGCAAGACCCTCGATCCTAAGAGGCAAACCAAGTCATACCGTCAGTTGACAACCTTCCAAGTAACAGCTTTTAGTGCACCGTAGTGGATTCAGGCGCTTCAGACTGTTTATAGTGAGCAATATGCGTTGAGTGAGTCGAAGTTACTCTCTCTGTTCCTTCCCCGGACACAAGTCGATAGTCCGGCTCGGTTGACAAATTGATGCGGGAATTGGACCCAATGGCTGACAGAGCTAAAACAGTCCGTCTACGTGCGCCACACATACAACGTCGCCCTAAACACGGTGCGTTAGGATTTCACATGTACAGACCTAACTGCTTAGATCTACCATGTGTTGGAGTGTGAGTAGGCCAAAATGAAGAAGAGGCCGAGGATTACACTTTCCACTTAGGTTGGAGGTACTTGTTACGAGCTGTGCGGTTAATGATGTGGGACGGGTCCGTGTTTGGTGAATGCGGTGGTAAGAAAATGTGTGTGGTTAAATATGTTGTGGGCTACCACAACGTGCAGCGGCTGGATGTGCGTTGGCGGTGCGGGCTGTTGAGACGACGGTGAAGGATGTATTTCTGCCCTATGCGTTGGTTCGCCGTTCTCAATGCGATGGATTAGCAAGTGACCGACCAGGCTAATGCGTGATGTGGGGTGCAATCAAACTGAACACTGGCTGGGATTTAGTCCACACTGTTGGCGGTAGAGGCGGCGGTGGTGGCAGTGGTAGCTGACGGTGCATCGGGGGTGTTTTTGCCGGTGTAGGGAGAGTTAGCAGTCGTCGTCGTAGGCGAGTTGGCAGGGTTGATTGAGGTGGCGGTACCGGTGGTGGTTGCCATCGTGGACGACGTGGGGCCTGGTGCAAAGGTGACTATGGGGGCGTTTGCGTAGACGCCTGGTGGAGTTGTCGGGTTGCTGTTGTTTTGGGCCCGGAGATGTCCGACGCGCCGGAGTGTGCGTTGACAGCGTGAACATATTGGGGGTAGGGGAGGGGGAGAGAATCGTTCGTTGGAATTGTGGGTAGGAGACGGTGCTTGGGTAAGCGCTCGCCATCGGACCTCGCGAGGTGACTTCTCCAGCGCACTTGAGTTTGCTCAACACGCTTTAGGTTGTGAGGATTCCCGTTTGTTCAGGGAATACTGTGTATGAACTCCTGTCTTCCCTCCCCACTTTTAGTATTCTTCGCAGATAGCTTAGGTGGAAGTGGTTGAGTGTCCTTTCCCGTCTCTTCTAGACTGTCCAGGTTCCCGCTCCGTGCAGCAGCATCGTCAAGAAGACAGCTTTGTACATTTTGGGTTTGGTCTTAAGATGGAGGCCATTGCAATTCCATACGCAGTTCTGCAGACGGTCTGAAGTTTGGCCGACTTTGGAGATCTAACGGGCCACCTCTTCGTCAGTTTTGATTTTGTGTGAGTGTACTGCCGAAATAGGCAAAATTGTCCATGGCTTTTAGTTGGATGCCGTGCACAGGGATGCGAGGGTCGTTGTACTCAGTTTTAACGACAACTGGTGCGTGATCATCGTTTTGTCCGTGTCTATGGTCAGACCGAAGTGTGCAGAGTCACTGGTGAAGGTATTCATGGTCCTTTGTATATTCAGCTCTATCGCGATGTTAAACGCGCAGGAGTACACTAAAAGCATGTCGTGGACGGTAGTCGTGGAAAGACGCGTTAAGGCTCGCAAGCGTCGGGTATTGAGAATCTGCCCGTCGGTCGTGTGACGACGATCGCCACAGTAGGCGTTCATTAGCATGGCAGAGACCACGAGTCCTAAGAGGGTAGGAGTAAGTACGCAACCCTGCTTCAAACCATTGTTCATTTTAAATGCTTCCGTGACTGTCCCACAGTCCGCGATGCTCGCCGTCATCCCATGGTAAAGCTGGCGTATCATCCCTAATAGCAATCACTTGCGAATTGAGACTCGCTGCTCGCGTCCCGCTCGCAACTGGCCTCTGATTTGTTGGCTGCAGTCGTAGCAGCATGTTTCCCAGGGACGCGCACGAGTGAGCGTACGCTGATATGCTATCGATTTTTATCGATAGGACTGCGTGTTTGCTTGGTATGGTCGCCCCTGCAGGCGCCCATGGACGTCACTTCCTGCCTTGCCACGCCGCTGAGCGCCCACGCCCATACAATTGAGTACTACCGTTTTCTTTTCTGTCATGTTCAGACCAGTATCTCGGAGAACTCATCGTAGGCGTGTCGAGAGGGAGTTTAGAAATCGCATACATGCTATTGCCGAGATATTGAGGACGAAATACCCGCCCAAGTCGTCATCATCATCATCGGCGACAGGTTCATCCACCTCCACTCAGTCAATAGACGCCCCAACGTCTTCGGGTAAGCTTCAAGGTATCGTATGCGACTTGTGTAGGTCATAACCCTTTATTCAACACACCTCGGCGGACCGGACGCCCAGGGCCTCAACACCATCGCCGGCGAGGGTGGGCCAATATGAGGCAGGGCATGCGGTGGATGATGCATGCCATAGCAATGCTGATTGTCCAGGTCTTGGAGTTGCGTCAACAGCACGCAGCGATGATGGATCTGCTCCAAGGCCGCAGGGGCATGTCCAGCAGCCCATGTGAGTCCTCCGGATTCAATTTGAGGCCAGTAGCCACTCCTGACCAGTTGGACGCCCTCGCCAATGCTCTGGACGACGATACTTATCGCCACCAGCTGGTATGTTATGTAACGATGGCGATATTTCTTTGCTAGGTGACGTACCTCTGCTCTCTTGGCGGGGACACTGTTGTGTCCTTCATTGACAGAGTATTCGGAGCGCTGTTTTCCGAAGAAATTACCTCCTTCGTCACCTTCTACGGGCGACAAGGGGGAAAGAGGCCGTTCTTCGGAACGCCTCTGTACAATTTGGTTCTAGGTAAGACCTGTTATGCATGTATGCTGATGGATTTTTATTACAGAGGTCTTCGACCACTGGAACTGGGGACAGCGCTCCGACCGTCACTTATTAGAGCGGGCCCTGAAAAACGCCTTTAAACGGGCATATGATAGGTTACTAAAAAGAAATAATAAGTCGAATACAAACAGTGAGTCTGTTCTTAACATGACCTCTTAAGTTCGCGTAGAACAAATGCATTTTATTTAATATAGTTGAAACATAATTTTTAAATACCTTATTTCATCTTACTCCTATACATGTTTCCTTTGCAGATTCACAAAATACCAATGGCGAAGCGGGCCCGTCAACGCAGCCATAAATACAATTTTTGTACATTTAAACATTTTTACGTTGCTAATAATTTTTTTTCATTTTACATAACGCATTACTTCCAGTCTTTGCTAGAAATGTTATTAGCTGTAAGTATAGGGGTCGGTAGGGTGCAAAACCTGGATGGGGTCTGAGGTTGCGTACACATGTACGCAAATCGTTTTGGACAGGCACATTTTCCATGATTTGTCTGGGTCCATCACGATTTACCGTGTTGAAGACCTTCGGTATGCCTGCAGAAGTAGTGCTAAAGTTGGTATGTGTTTCCTGGCACTACTGTTGTAGTCATCGGTCAGTAATTTCCATGTCGGATGTTCCAAAATGTTGTTGAAAGCCTCATAGGATTTCTGGGGGAAGTCCTTGTTTACTATGGTCTTTGGGAGGATTGATAAGAACGCAAGCGAAGACCTTCCTCGCAATGTTGAAAAGCAAGATTAACCTATGATTCCCTTTCTGTTTGTGGAGATAGGCAGTGGACACACAGTCGAAATTCAGAGGAATTGGTCTGTCACGTCACGTCTCCATGAATATCGTTATTTAGTTTGTCCACCAACCGGGACTACCATGCATGTAGATTTCAGTTGGGATCGCGTTGGAACCCGGTGCTTTTAGGCTCCATTTGTGATGATCGGCCCGAATTATTTCTCGGAGATGAGACGGGAGGTCTAGGTAATGTCCATGTCCAATTGAGAGGATCAGTCGATGGCGACGTCGAAGATATTGGATGAGCGGTTGAGGATGGTTCTGTAGTGTTCAGTCGGTTAGAACTGTACGGATCAGTCACCGTTTGTATTTTGCGACGTACCAATTCCTGCCCTTTTACGTTATTCTTAGAAATGCTGACACCTCGCAGTGCTAAACGACAATTCGGCCATCGATTTCCATTGTCTCCCACAATATGATATGAGTAGGGACGGAGACTTGCGCCTAAGTTAGTTTATAATGATATCAGACTTGAGAGGTGTTTGCCGCACCCCTCCCTCCTTATCCACGTAAGCTCGATATTGGGACAAGATCAAGACGGCGGGAGGCGAGATCGGGCACATCTTCCCGACGCGGCACGAGCCTGAATCTAGGCGTGTCGCCACACTCTTATATGGCATATATTTAGGATGCGCCTCCCTTAATAACGTCCGCCATGCCCTCATTTAACCCCCGTGTTGACCCAGCGCATTTACCATGTGGTACCTCTTAGTGGCAGAAGCACAGCTTGGTGGAACCTCAGATGAGAGCTTGGTGGCAGAGCGGACAGAAACAGATGCATCCATCAAGTTATTTCATGCGTCTGGTGGTACCATTAGGGTGCTACTTGCAATACTTCGCTATGGCCGTAATTTTACCTACTCGTCGCGGGCCAAACAGTTTTGCATACTTTACTTTTGTTGTCTGCGGAAGGAAGCTTTCGTGTACAGCCATTCAATGCCCATGCAACCTCATCGAGGAATCGGTAATGGAAGTCCATCAGCGACGTCGGTCCCGCCCATGGCACCGCGACAATGAGATTAGATAGATTCCTACAACAGCGATCTTGTCACTGTTACTGCAGCAGCACACATGCAGATGTGAAGAGGCAACGAATAGAATACCGTTCATTCGCGTGGAGTGTCCTTTATTGACTATCGGAGAGACCCCTCCCCTCTTGAATATGTATATGTATATTTGCCTTGTTTAATTTCCGAGTAAATTAATGCGCAAACTTGGAGTAAATCTTCCGAACCGAACCTTTTCAGGCACGCTCCAAATTTTGACATGAGTATTTGAGCTGAAATCCATCAGCTACTGCGGAATAACCGCTTAATATTCACAAACTGCCAACAGGCAGCCAGTAGTATAGAACTGTGCAGTGACTTACCGTACTAACAACATAGGTATTAGTTAAAAGCCCAGACACGCGTTTTTTGCCGATCTTATGCCGCTGCCTGACGCAGCTGCGAGGGGTTCGGCTCGTCAGTGGGTCCCCCAGCTTTCCCCGTGTGCTTTCTGGTATATGAACTCCAGTTTCAACTTGCTTTGTTTACATGCCGAAGAAATTAATGCAGCGAAACACGCGTGTCTGGGCTTTTAGCTAATATCTATGTTTTTAGTACGGTAAATCATTGCACGTGTATGTATATATATTCATTCTTTGGCTCATTTGGTAGAAAATTACGTCTTCTTCCAGGTTTATACTCGAAAGAAGGGTATAATTCGGTTTTCAAAAACTCTTCCAATTTCCGAGTAGTTTTGAACCTTGACCTGCCGTTACACTTGTATTCAGGGTTTCCAGACTACAAGCCGTATATTTTCCGCTTAAGAGAGACCATATATTTCTCCACGGTAGTAAGATGAGATCATATGGGATTCAGAAAATTTGGCAGTGGATTTGAACCATATTGTTAACTTTACATGCCACATTGGTAAAAGCAGAGAGACGGTGTTTTATGAATGGGCATTTAACGGTGTTGAAACATCTCACAATTAGAAACTTTTTAAAACCGAAATATACCCTACCTTTGAGTACAAAAATAAAAAAACGTAATATTCTACCAAATGAGCAAAAGAACGAATATTTTTGTGAATTATTTCCATGAAATATAATTGACTTTTTAGGGGCATCGAAACTCCATGGGAGAATTCATGCTACATAAGTAGCCATTTTTTATAAGGGATAGTTTTTGAATGCAGCCAGAAAGAAGTTTTTTTTCGAAAGCCGGCATCTCGAAGTAGCTGAATTATTATAGAAGTTTGCTGCATGCTGATTACTTTTAAAACCCTTCTTAATTCATCTTTTCGCAACGAAAACGCATTTCGGAATTTCGGTTGACATTTCACGAGTTAGCACACCTACTGTACGCGTCCGGTGTCTGGCGTGCGTGATCAGCGTAGTTTTCCCGACTCTCTTGTGGTATACATTTTTCGCTATTCAGCCAGACCTGACAGCGATGAGAATAAGGTAAAAATTCCATTTTTTCAACCCAAAGACAACCTTGTTGTGATACGAACGATGACGCATACGTGTTACGCTCGAGCGTATTTACTTAAAGCAGTGAGTACTCAATTTCCAGGCTAACCCCGGAACAGTGGGTTCATCCGCTCGAGATTAGAACTAGCATAACAGTGCAGCGTCACAGATCATAAGCATAAACCCGAAACACGACATATCTAACGACATCCAGCCAAGCAGTGATCAGCTTCCGTTGTCTCCAGGCGTTTACGAAAGATGATTTATGTGTATGATAGATCAAAACGCAAATATGTCAAGTCCTGACTCGGAATATATGACTAATTATGCAATTTTAACACTATACTGAAAATGTGCAAAAACGATTGAAGACTCGCATGTCTCTTATTGAACCATTAACTGCGTCGGTTGGCTGGCGGCCTGTAATCCCTAATATAGTCTGAAACAACTCTTCAGTATTCAGTATATTCAGTATATATGAGGGATAGAGGCAGAGCCTTGGAAAACCCTATTGACAGATAGACGTATGAAAAAAACATGCAGATATTAACATAGCAGTTATGCCAGTCATTGATATCATGAAAATGTTTGACCATCAAGCATAAGCTTATCTAGTCTTCTTTTGAAAGTCTCGACGTTTTCCGCCAAGACATCGGAGTTCGGAAATTCGTTCCATCCCTCAACCAGCCGGTGGGAGAAGAATTTGGCCCGCAAATCGAGTCTGGCATGTTTCGTCTTCAATTTGTATGGGTGCTCTCGGAGATTTGTCGTCCGCGCCAGTTCGAAGAAGTAGTCAAACTGAAGAGCACAGTCTAGCCCTCGGACGATCCTGAAGGCCATGATCATGTCCCCTCTGTACTGTCTTTAAGAGAGAGGAAATATTTTTAGCTTCTCCAGCCGTCTCTCATAAGGTAAGCCACATAATCCGCCGACTAGCCTGGTCGCTCTACGTTGTACGTTCTCCAGTAGGGTGTAATCTTTTTCGTCCAGGGACACCATGCCTGGACACAATATTCCAACATTGATCGGACGTATGCGCCAAATACTCGGCCGAGAAGTTCTTCATCAAAATTGACGAAGGATCTTCTAATCGCGCCTAGGATACCCATAGCTTTCTTTGATACCTTGGCGCAGTGAGACGATGGTTTGAGAGTTGACGTCATCCACACACCGAGATCTCTTAACTCGTTGACTGATTCGAGTTGGTGACCTCCTATAAAGTACTGAGATTCAAATCTCAACGGCCTCCTGATGCTCGAACGTAATCGGATAAGTTGGCATTTGTTACGATTGAGGCTAAGACACCACTCATCACACCATTTTTGCAAGCGGTTTAAATTGTCTTGTAATTGTACAGAATCTTCCGGCTTCTCTACTGATTGCCACAATTTGAGATCGTCGGCAAACATTACTCGCTCGCAGTTCAGACAGTCCAGGCAGTCATTCATATATATTAGGAACAGAATTGGACCCAGAACGCTTCCCTGCGGAACGCCACTATGCACGGATGCCCATTCTGATTTAGCGTTTCCGATACACACACGCTGAAATCTGCCCGTAAGAAAATCAGCTGGATAAAACTAGGAACTTTTGGACAAATTTTATGGCGGCAAGTTTTCTCTAACTTTTATCTTGACACCGGCCAGAGTTCTCTTTGGGGAACGGCTTTGTACGGCTCCCACATACAGCCTAATTTAACGTTAGTTGGAAAGGAATGCCATCTAAGCTGACCTTGAGAAGGACGGGAAAAGGACTCCTCGTTCAGTCTCTACTGGCTAGCAGAACTCCGAGATAGGAGGCATGGGAATCACAGCTGCTGTGGGCGGTGGGCAGAACGTGCAGGTGGGTGGGAGCAGAATTACGTCCTTTTTGAGCAGTCTTTGAACAGCGAGCCTCCCTGCCACCCCTGGCTAAAATCACGTATGCCTCGCAACCGACCGTCTTTACCCAGCCGGCCTACTACGCTCAGCCAGATCAGGGAGATAAAGTGCGGCGTTTGGTCGAGCTTTGTCTCCCTAATTCATTAAAAAGCGCAACCCTATAGAGAATATGTGGGTGACTATGTCCAATTCACCCTTATGGGAATTTTCGCAACTATAATCATATGTATGTGCGAGCGATCTCTAATGCCCATGTGCAGTGACGCTTAACATCGTTTTCAGTAGCCCAACTAGCCGATTCCGGCATAAGCAAACCAGAATAAGTGTCGATTTTCACAAAAGTAGACTCGGGGTAATTTGCAGTAAAATGTGAACCAGTGTATGCAGTGTTCAGGGGGCAAATCGTCGCTTCGACCATGTTTACCGGTATTAACAACCTTAATTCTGACGCCGATTGCTAGGCGTCATCAGGATGAGGTCCAACTTTGACAGTCTGGTGAGCACAACAACAATCATCTCAACTCACAATGAAAACCTCAGTTTATTAAAATAAATATGGAATAAATGTTGTAGGACAAATGACACTTGAGGACAGATGCGTCGGGTGACGAAGATTAAGATTAAAAATTACCATTTACAGTCTCACTTTTCGTTTGAAAGAGTCCATAGGCAGAGCAACAGCGTTTTTTCATCATAAAATGGTATGTTTGTATGGTAGAGAGATGCTCACCGATCAGGTTAAGGGACACGTTCGTCCCGCTGTGCTTCGGGGCTCAATCTAGAACTCTCACAGTTAGCCGTATAGCGGCAAGTACCGTACGTAGATAATGGAATAGCAACAAATACAAGAGAGACTGAAGTGACCATTTTTAACTTATTAGTAGTCATCAGCCAGTCCTACTCATCCACAAGTTTGGATTACGTGAAATTCGGAACCAAAATCTTTAAACATAGGATCGAGAGCTCTACCATTAAGCCATTTGTCCATTGTCCTGTAGGCTGTGACAATGTGCATTTGAATTCCTGGAGCATGAAACGTCCGAGTTAAAGGCATAATTTCGTGTCTCTTTTCTATTAATTTTTTAAGTTTTTTAATCTATAGACAGTTACATCGCCTACTGCAAGTCATTTATGTATTTTTGGTCTAGCTTTGATACGGTCAAACCGTTTCTTCGAAACAGCTGAACAGAGACCCAATAAAGTGACTGATGCGACTGACGGGATCCGTCACTGCCCAGAGGTGTATGCCGTATGAACTTGCGCATGAACATGTTTATGTCAAGACAGGATTGGATCGTTTCTACTTCACATTCACCTCCAGCATCCACCCTGTTCCAGTGGTCAGACGAAATCAAGACCTGGGCTCCGACTCCACACGTGTCAGGCCCCAATGAGAAGGCCTCATTCTCTACCTCTCCCATGTTTTCTCGCTCTCTCCCCTTGTATACACACCAGTGGTATATCCGAGACAGATCGAGTGAGTATGTGAATGGGCCATCGATAAACATGCATTGATCCCTCACCGCATTCGAGCTAATAATCATCAAAAAGTAGATCTTCCATAAGTCACTGAAGCGCATGCTCATATGCGCTAGCTCGTCGTTACAAGGATTTCCAGTATGTCGGACGAATTTAGCTTGAGAATGTGCATGGTGTTATGCAAGTTGTCTAGGACGAGTTTAGGTGTAAAACCGAATAGGCTTATGGCAAATCTTTACATTCTTCACTATGATCAAGCTAACGTTTACGAGTATGTCGCCTGGTGCATGTGGAATTAGGAGCCGATTTGTGTGCAGCAGGCGTAGTTTTGTGGCGCTGTCAGTGACTGTGCCCGCGCTAATCTCCGATCTTTTGGATACTTTTTTGCAATCAGTGCATAGTGAGTGTGAAAGGAAGGTGAATAGATGCAGCGAAAGACTGCTCCACCATAAACAAATACACGCGCGAATTCCTATCGCTGTTCCCGTGTCATAAAGCAGCAGCCGGCCTCGTTGTCCGCGACGAGTGAACTGCTGCCATCACGTCGAAACAAAACGTGGGACGAACTGCTTCACGGCAAGCGCTTATCTTGCTGCGCTGGGTCCATGTGGTCCAATAACTACTGCCGTACACGTGTGTGGCAGGTCTTGAATTTAGCTCTTCCCGTCGCGGGGCTGGTGCATGGGAGAGGAAGAGTGTGTTCGACTGCACTGCGAAATACGTCGAGGCAGGATGGTCGAAAACTTGAAGGCTCCCAAGTCAGAACGCAGGGAAGACAGTTAAGTGGACAAGTCGTGCTTTGGGGCCGGAAAAGGTGCCTGGTGAAGACATGTTGTGGCGCTGCGTCCTGTTCCGATGGCAACTCAGACACAACCGTGTCTAGGCCTCGGCGTCCTTATTCATGCCAGACCAGACAAACCTTTCCGTAAGCAGCTGTTTTGAGGCGCCGATCCGGAGCGGGAGAGTTCATGAAAATATTGAAACAGGGCTAGTGATTTTCGCCCAGGCAATATTACGACACAGAATATGAAGGCGAAGGGCTATTGCGCTTGTTCATTGAATGCAGGCCGAAGAACCGTGACGAAAGCAGCGCAAGGCTCAGGCGGTTGTCACCTCTTACGGGGATTTCGGCCTCAGCAAACTTGAAGGTGTGATCGGGCCCCGTCAAATGAGTGCGATCTGGGAGTAAGTGTCGATCCTACTTTAAAGGAGTGTCGGGAACGCATAACGTCGAAGTAAATGGCGAGCATTTTCATTGCCAGAGGTACAGTAGCGCGCCTAAGTCGGCGAGATTTTTCTCGATGAGAAAACTACTCGCCAAGTCGAATCGGCAAGAGGTTGTTGAAGGACGAGGCCCACAACTACGGTCTAATCATCGAGCATCAGGGGCAGGCGATTTTTGGGAGGACGTTACGTCGGCAAGGTAGCGTCAGTCCAGAAAAGGTTTGAGTCACCCCAAAGCAATCAGTGCCTCACCAGTTAGCTCAAGACCAACTTTGGGATCAGAAAGCATGCTGACGAACGGTAAAATGGGATCAACACATTCCGGTAGAAAGCGACGGTAAGAGTTGACCATGCCAAGAGAACGTTAAAAACGACGCTTAGGGGGTAGCGGAGAGAAATTCTATCCCGGTCCACATTGTTAAAGGCCTTTCTTAGGTCAGCAGAGGTTATTTATAGGCCCCTTTTTGTTTAGCGAAATCTCTTCATTTCTTGGTTCCATGGTACTTCCGGCGTTCACAGCTTGTTTTCAAATAAATTATCCATTACGGAGGCACATTATGTCCACTGAGGAGACCACCGGTAGCTATTTTACTTGCATAACTGACCGTTTTACTTTCGCCTATAAAGACGGACAATAGAGGTGTAATTTGGGTTTTATGGTATTTTTCCGTGTCACCGGATATTCTAAAACGGCATGGCCACTCGGTTCGAAACCATTTTCGCAGACTTTTGAGGGAATTGGGTTGGCGCTTTTCCGGCCAACGATTGCAGCACTACCGCAATAGTCCTTTGCAGAGACAAATGACAGCTTGTCCGTGACCTCTTCATACTGTAGATGTGCGGTTGAGGTCGCTTCTGAGATGTTCAGCCGAGTGCCCTTAAATCGCCAATTTTTCGGAATTGAAGATTGTGAAGTCTGTGTTGACCTACGATATTGCTCTCCCGAAAACCTTATATTGCCCCGATGACTGTGAGGATAATCGCCACCCGCATATTCTTGGATTTTTTCGGTTTTATACGTCGACTAGTTGTTAAAAATTTCCCACATTATCTGTTGTATTTGGATTCGACATCAGAAGCATGCGGCTGGATTTGATAAGATCCTATAGTTGTCGTACATTTTAGTCGGTTTTTCCTCAGAGGGATACCTTAGATTTCTTCGTAATCCTAATGTTGTTAACGCATTTACCTGAGTACTTACAGGTAGTGATATGAGTGAATTCCTCTAGTTAATTTCATCCTCCTCCTCCTCCTCCGTCTTCTTCTTCTTCTTCTTCTTCTTCTTCTTCTTCTGCTTCTCATCCTTATTCTCATAACCATCATCCGCGTCCTCATAATCACCATCCTCACCCACCCCCCCTCCTCCTCCTTCTCCATCATCATCATCATCATCATCATCATCATCATCATCATCATCATCATCATCATCATCATCATCATCATCATCATCATCATCATCATCATCATCATCATCATCATCATCATCATCATCATCATCACCCAGAACTGGAATCTGCCCCGACTTCACGCTCATATTGATGTTGAGATGCGGTTGACTTGTGCCATAGCTAGTACTTTAGCATTTAACGTGCTAATCGTTTTCTTACCTTTGGCGGCCTGTGGGGTTGGAGTTTAGGCTGATATTCGCGATGATAAGTTGGTGACCTGTCCAGCCTTCGGAACCGCGCATTGTTTTTTTTCGTTACCTTACCACGTTGATGCCCACTGTTGATAAGCACGCTGTTCAGTTGCCAACGGCGCTAACGGGAACGCATCAACGTCGTCTTCGTCCTCTAGTTCGGAAGGTCGGGGGGATTCTGATATTGAGCAGATTGTGACCTGTATGTGCCATTATCAAAATATGAGTCCGTAGCCACTGCAGCGTCCCATGTAATGGTAACCCAATTCTCCCTCTGGCGTCTCATAATCTGGGACTGCGCGGCCATTTAAACAAATCAGTTCATGTTCTGCATAGAAACGAAGAGACTGTGCAGATCCACCGGGAAGTTGCTCTTCCCATAGTCATCATTTTTTCATTGGAAATGAAGAATAGGTGTTGATGATTATGGCGAATTCCCCCCTGCGGCACGAAACCTGCAATATCATGATAATATCGTTGGTTCCTCCCGTGCATACAGGCCACTGTCCCGTGATTCCACTTTCGATTGCCATGACGACCACGATCTCACGCTTTTCAGCCGTCTTATATCCGCATCGGAGTAAAATGAATCCCCCACTTACTTCAGTCACGTTCCCTTGTTCCTAGCAGTTGGCCCCACTTGGAGCCTAGATGTAAGTCTTTTATTGACCCCGAACTTGAATGATCAGAGCTATCCTTTTGTCCGTTCAATTGGCCATATGGCTAGTTAAAATGTAATGCCCCTTTCACGGCGGTCAGATTGACTTTGCTCATTCTGGCTGGGGAAGGGTATGGCAGAAATATTTAAACTGGGATTATTTCCGCCTTGTTTGTTTCGGCAGCTTTTGTCTAATTTACTGTTAACTATCGCCTGCACAAACAATGCGTACTTGCACTTGCTTAATGCATATTTTGCAGCTCTTTCTCGAATAAGGGAGTAAGTAGTGAATCGATAAGTAGAGTTGCTGAGACAACACAGGAGGCCGGTCTAGCCAGGAAACTACCGAGGCCGGTCTGGTCCATCTATCGGATTACGTGTCGTTCCGATTGTAGAACATTTTAGGGAGTGGGAAATGGGAAAGAAGGAATTTACCCAGTTTGAAGATACGCATCGAACATCCTCATCTGGTCTGTGCGCAGAGTACAACATCACAGAACCACAGCTGAAATCTGGACGCAAGTTAGATGTTGTATAATCGGTTGCGAAGTTTTCTGACGTGTTTGGTGGAACTTCAGATACGGCAGCATGAGGAGGTCCATTAAAGACCCGAATGTATGTGATGTGATCTGACAACTACAGCGCGAAAACCCGATGCATGAATCGATTAAAATCTCACAGAAATACGAGTAGCTGAATTCATCACCTAAGATCTTTTCGAAACAAGAGTTTAATTGGTATTTTGTACATTTATGGTCTGCCACCTAACTTCCATCGTCTAAATGGCAACTTGATTAATCAGGAAACACTTTTGTAGTATTTATATACCACCTGAAGCAAGCGCTTCGGTTTTCGCTCCTAAGATGTCAATTGTTCGATGTCATGCAAACATGCTCATCCTCAGGATTCGAAAAGAGGGGGAAAGTGATTTGAAATAACGGGTAGGAAGGATGTTATAATAAGTACACTGTATATGAAACACTGCTTTCTCTCAGCAAATTCGAATAAAGCGAAGGCGGCGAAACAAGGGCAATCTAATGACGACATAGACATTTTCACCTCTTCAGACGGGGAGCAGTCACTGACTACATATAAAACTGACGGTTTGAAGGTAACAATCGGGAGATGGCACCCAAAAAATCCGTTACCAGAAATAATACCGTCCGGTGGTTGGGTCCATGAAGTTCTTTTAGTGGTAAACAGAGAAATGTAGATAACCCTCTGAGAGAAGACGATTATACGCCTTCCACTCGTCCGTTACTACTATATTGCCTTTGGCGACCCATTTTGTAATAACGGAACGGAGAGCGAGCCAAAATCGATCATTCACCTGTTCAAATAAGGCTTTCTGTCACCTAGTATCGCACGTCCCCATCAGCCATCATCCATAAAACCCCTATTACCACCTGTCCTGCAAGACAGGCTGCTTTGGTTAGGCGGATTTTTTTGGGTACCATCTCCAGATTGTTACCGGTTTTGAAAAGAAAAAATCGTAGATTTTAGTGTATAGTCGACTTCAGACCATATGGTTGCAAATAAATAGAGCCGAATTGTACATGACGTAAGTAAAGAAAAATTGCGGCGCATGTCAGTGGTCTCATCAAACAGACATTTCGGGGTGGATAACACGACAATCAGTGTGATATTGTTGATACTTGTTATTGTTTAAAATGTAAAATACGGCATGAAAAGTGATGTTGGCACCGATCAACTGAAGTATGGGTTAGGAATTTCTACCAGGTTTATAAGTAACTGGAAGAAACCAACACTTTCACTGCCATAGACAGTAAGAGAGAAAATTTATATATATTTGTATCACGTAGACTGCATATTAGCATTTTTCCTCATCAGAAAGTGAGATTTACCCCACCTCCTGAGGACTGGATTGCATGTGGTGTAAATCCGGGCTTTCAAGCCCGACCTTCTACCTATTGGGTGGAAGAACATAAACTCGAGCAGAGATTTGCACAAGAAAATGAGGCAGCAGTGCGGGAAACGCTTGTGTCGCATCAGCCCTGACTGCCATTTTCCGCGATGCGGTTCCCATCCGGTTTATTGCAACGAACCTAGCAAATACATCATGACTCAAATTGCGGATATCTGTATGCCGGTCAGCCAGTAGTGCTGTCCGGAGCCGAAATTGCCCGAAATGTTATTTAATCATGACGGCGTGGAGGACATCTCTGTCGACAAACTTTGACTGCGAAAAGACCGTTAACTCGCCAGGGGTAGCTTGCACACTTTTCCAACGACAGAGTTATCAAACATCTCTTGACGCAGCATCACTATCCGAGGTAATTGAGTTGTGCTGGGCGTTGGTACGCGAAATTCGATTACCCAGACGACCGATGTAGGATGATGGGCATTTCATTCAGAAGTTGACTGATACAAATCCACGGTGCAATTGGCCACTCGGTTTGGTCGCATGCAGTTTGCGACTGCACAGGTTCGGGCCTTGAGGCAGTCACTCGCAGATGCGTTAGTAACTCTGTTATCTCATCTGGCCAACTCGCACTGAAGGACTTCAGTTTTACTTCGGATTTGTAAATGGTCACGGAAAAATAATTATCCCGAGCGCCTTTTTCACAGGTCAAGCCACATTCACAGTAACACGAAACTGTGGAAATAACGAAAGTTATTGACTGCATTAAAATTCCCGGATACCAGGTTGCTAAGATGAAGTGCGGATAACATCAGGTTTGGATTTATTTTTCAGTCTGGATGACCTCAAAGGTCGGGAGGATAGTCCATTCTTAAAAGCAACCATTACAAATTATTTGAAATATTGAGATTGTTATTACTAGATTCTTAAGTTAACTCTTGCCCAATCATTTTTCGGTCCAGTCAAGAATGGCCGAAATTGTGGTCGATTTGCAGGGGAGAGTGAACTCATAGATCTTGGCCCAACCCTGTGTTTAAAACACTTTAACTGGCATAGATTAGTTAGTAGAACGGATAACCAAGTAATCTGGGCCGAGAAGTTGATTCCTGCGAATTTATGTACGGAATGAAAGTCGGGAAAATCACTCCGAATTTTGCCCTCTGATATCAGCGAAAGCCAGATCGCAAGGCCAGCCCAAAAGAGCTGTTTACCACAATTGTTTTTTGGATGGGCAAGTGGAGTGGTTTAAAGAAGACACTGATGGATAATCATTTGGCGGACAGTCGTGGGAAGGCAGAAGCTTAGTGGGGTCTTAAATCGCACGCTGTCTACCCCAATTAATCACAGTGCCCTAATTCCTTGCGAAGACCGTTGGACGCCCAATCCGTTAGATGGCATAGATGGATGAGTTAGTTTTGAAAAAGGCCCTTCGCGAGTCTAATTTTTTTCTTCTGCCTACTAAATAAAGAAGATTAAAGAATAGTTGTTGTCTAGTTAAAATAAATTTAAAATATCGTGTTTGCTTTGTGAGACCCCGAAAAATTATATAATTGACGACACGGTCTTTTATGACGTTTCATCTACTCGATCAGGTGAGACAAACAGAATTTAATTTCGGACATCATAAGATTTAGATACATCAACTATACATCCACGGTCAGAGCTAAATTTTGTTATACTCCATGGCCGCAGTCATCATTTCGATACCATTTGACTTTTGACGGAAGAAAGTAAAACTTCTAAAGACGCGCTTTAGCCAACTAAGTAGTTTGAGAAGTTTATTGATGAGACTGGGGTGCTTCAGTTTTGAGAAACTGAAGCATTTGTTATGAGCAGCAAGATTCGAAAAACGTTCACGCTTTAGAACTTGAATTTTCCTTTTAAATATCACATTTTTATGAATCTGGTCACATTTTAAAGAAGGCTTTTTATTTATTTACGTTGTTTTTTAGTCTGTCTTCTGTTACCTTGACGCACACTTCGGAAATTTAGGAGACCGCGAAATTTGGCCGACAAGGATAGGGGCATTGCAGTAAGGAATTACCCTCAGCATTTAAGGGATAAAATGACCGACGATGTATTAGCATAATTCATTCAACATGCAAAGAGTAATCGCAGCTTTTATCTACGATCGTAGTCGAATGTAACCTGATTTCCAAGATTCCGTGCCCATCCTGTTGGTTAATTCAGGAAATTTATTCAAAGAATGACTCGGCTCTTCGTGTCACTCACAATTCGATTTGTAATATGCAATGTTTGCAGCGAATATTTTTCTTTTGTCTAGTAAATAGATCACAATCACGCAAGTAGATCTACCGCGAATTAATCGCTCGCAAAACTAACAGCAAAAGCCTC